AAAAAAAAAAAAAAAAAAAAAAAAAACATATATACACATACCACAGCTAAATTACCAAAAAAAAAAAAAAAAAAAGCAAAACCTAAGCTTTGCTATTTGTTACTGTTGGAGTAGAAATCCATTAGAATATCGGACAAAAAATGAAACTTAATACAGTATGTCAATGACATAGAACAAAAATTAAGACACAAACTCTATTACGCTTAAACAAGTCATCGCCACACCCATTTCAAGTCTCAATTTCCATCTAAAATTCTAAAGAATTTTTATTCCAATTTTCAAACAAAGAGAAAAGTTTAAGAGATTTCTTCTTCTTCTTCTTCTTCTTCTTNTTCTTCTTCTTTTTTTTTTTTTTTTTTTTTTTTTTTTTTTTTTTTTTGCAATTTGGCCTACATACTATCACCAGTTTTCTCCCATTCCTCATCTGATGGAAAACTTCAAAAAGTTCTTACCATCCCTTCTTCTGATTGGAAAATTGTAATGTCTAGAGTGAAGGGGGTTCTTCCAACTGAACTATTGCTATTGAAGACCAATACTTCAAACAACGCATACAACCATCGCTACCCATCTGCAAGTAATCAGTCTCAGTGTACTCCAATAGTCATTTGAACCAATTAAAATCAATTTTTTGTCTTCAGTGACAGAGTTGCATGAGTTTGGGATATTGAGTGCTTAACCAAATCAATTATAAAGTGGATGTGGATTTGGACATCATCCCAAAAGCAAAAGCAAAAGCAAAAGGATTAAATTGTATGGCTTTCTAACATATGGTCTTTGAATCAAAAAAGACTACCCATAGATAAAGAATTTATTGAAGTAAAGAAGTTAATTAAAACACTTAATTGAGAACTTAGAGACTTCTAAACACGGTTGATCTTTCAAAGACCTATCAAACATAATCTTATTAAACACTTCTTAAAATTTAAGAATTTATTAGACAGAACCCCAAAAAGCCTTAAAATGCCATTTAACCGACTAATGATGATTATAATTGCACTCGTATGTTCAAAACACAAGAAAACACTAAAATATGGTCGACCCAGCAATTTCTCCTCCTATCTTGAATAGATATAGTTACAACAAACAGTTAATTATCTACAACAAACAGTTAATTACATGTCGCATATGAATATATAGTCTATCTAGATTTGAGGCAGGGCAGTTGCTCTAACGTGAACTCTTAGAAGCTGTTGCAACAGAAGCACTCATCTAAAGAAGGAAAGCTTTCAAATACAAACATGAATATTCTCTATACACTTGCAAGAAGTTTAGAAAAAGCTAACCGAAGTTGACCGTATTAGCATGTGGGATCGGCTAACTGGGAACTTCGTATTCCCCAAAATGATCTGGGTTTCAGATTCCTATTTGTGGCAGTAAAAAGCCATCCTAATTGAGTTTCACAAGTGGCACAGATTGAGATTGTCCATGCGTACCTAAAAGAACGAAAGTCAAGAGTCTGGCATTCATGCTTGCATGAGGAAAGATTTAAAAAGGAAACATAAAACAATACAGAAATTTTCTGAATATCCATGAATATATATATATAAAAAAAATCTTGTTTTCTCATAACTAGTCAATATTTGCATTGGTTTCTAATTCTCAACTACATGTATGGATTTCCACAAGAAACGCTGTCTTGATCCCACGTTTAGATCTCTAATATCATGCTCAATCTGCTTATTCATACTTATCTAGCAATAACCTATTTGAGGTCAAAGGTTCCAGCTCCCAAACGATTTCTAAGGTCCAAGTCCAATTCTTGTCCACCGGAGGAAAATTCAAGTGGGAACTAATCCTCGAGTGAACTTCATGCCCAAGTTTGATGTAGTGTTAGAAACAAAATCAACACAATACAATAACCTTTTGTAGATTTTTTTCTTTTTAAATATTTAATTTTCTTTACATAAGATTCTAGTCTATTTATTATTTCATTTATTAGTTAATATTCTTTGCTTAATATAGCTAGTTTCCTTATATGTATTTTTCTGTATATTAAATCTTCACGAGTTTTAGTGCATACATTGAATTTTTCTCCCGAAAACTCCACTTTTTTTGTAACCAAACCATGAACAACTTCTATTTAAGAAAGAGAGAAAAAGGACACTCATACGTTCAATGAAAAAGAAAAGCTAGATCAATCTCATACCCAGGGAACCAACTGTATTCTGTCTCAGCTCGTCCTCTAAGTGCTAAGCCATTTGCTCTGTAAAGAGTCATTATTTCATGCACATAGCCATGAGGGTTCACATAAGCACTGAGAGGACCGTCACTAGACATCACCAACATATCGCTGCGCTGGGCTATAACCGTCTGCATAAGAGGAAATTACATATAAAAACAATGGCTAGCTAAGTACTAAGAAGGTCTAACACAGTGCAAAACGGAGGCATAAGATGAGGGCAGATGCAAAAAGTTGAACGGACGAGTACAAGCATGCATACATTCTCAGAAACTATTGACTACCTTGCAGCTTTTACATTGGATGATATCAATAGACTTCAGTAACTCAATTTCCCGACGCAATCTATATGAAATGCCATCAATCTCCAAGAGCTCCTGTCTAGTAGATTCAGAAACAGGAATCTTACTAGCAATATAGAACACTAAGATGTCTGGATTCTTCACAAAACCATCCATGTTTGGCACCCCCACTATCTGCTTCCACATAGCTGGAAATAGTGATGATAAAGAAAGGAATAAAAAAAAAGAACCAATCATTCTTGATATATTGCAGAAAAAGAATACTGTCCTGATATATAGAAAACACCAAGAAAAAGAAAAAAGGCCAAGAGTTTTTTTTTTGGGGGGGGGGGGATAAAAAACAGATCAAAACGAAAGAAGAAAGGTTGGGAGTGAAGAGAGCAATTCAGGTATAACCTGCTGCTTTTTCAGCAAGACAATATGAATCATACATCGAGTAAACCCAATATGGCCAAAATGCTTTCGAAACCCCATGCATCAGAGTAAAACTTGAGTTTCTTCGGCATCTTTTGAGTTCTTTCCTCTCACTAGATTCCCAAGCTGATGTAGAACTCTTTCCTATATCAGGGACAGATTTTCCATTTTCCTTCTCATGGGCAGAATGCACTGATCCTACAGAATCAGAGTCATTTAGATGTGACATCGCACGTTGGTGTTTTGCCTCTGACCCAGTTATCACCTCATCACTACAAGACTCTCTGGAATCAATTGCTGCTTGGTGGATTTTCCTCTCTCTCAATGAAAGCTCACGTGCAAAGCTTTCTTCTGAAATAGAGGCCGAATTATCTTCCTCATCCCCGGACGTAAATGATCTAGAGCAAGAAGTATATGAAGCCAATGCACATGAGAGACTGTGGTGCTGAACAGTACTCCTTGGAGTCAATTCTCCAAAAGCATCCCGTGGAGTCCTTAATGGCAAATCTTCCTGGATAATTTGAACTTCTCCACATGGCTAGAAGAAAGATAGCAATCTTATTAAACAAGGAAGAAGTAAATAATACAAATAATTCAAGAACAACTTGCTCTAACCACTCCTTCAACATCAATCCAACGGCGTCTAAGACGAAATCGTTGCTTCCCTCTAGCCAGAACATTAAGAGAACCATCCTCCAACCTCCGAAACTGCCAAATCTGAAATATAGAGGGTTGGTAGGTATATGGATGCATGTCATCAGAAATATGGAAGCCTTTACATTAAAATTTAGATAGAAGCTAAACAACCCCAAATCTTGGCTACAGGCCAAATTACAGAAAATAAATGCTTTTGGAATAATGCCAGAAAAGAAGAAAACCATGCAAGTCAAAATTGAGCAATAATACCTCTGCAGTTGTCCCAATATTCGCAAAATGTAGTCTCTCATTATCAGAATCCAAGGAGACGTGAACCTGAAATAAATATTGAATCTTGCTTGAGCTACCAATAAAGGATTTCAAGGAATCTTTAAAACTGTATGCCAATGCCTAAATTTGGGCACGTACCACACCTATGGTATTAGGGGTGTTAAAGTGAGTTAATACTCTCTCAATGGCAGCAATAAAATTTGATTGTATCACCCTGAGAGGTAGAGTAGCTTCTGGGAACAATACAACACCTGAGACATAAGTGAATTGCACATGACATACTAATAAAAGAGACAAGATAGGAAAAGGTATCCCCACAAAGGTTATATATGCCAGTTGACCAGTCATATAATGAAAAAATTAACTTGTCCGCTCAAAGTTTGGAAAAAGCAAGGGCTCCTCAATTGAACTATTCTTCATCCTGTCAACAATTATGTCTAAACACTTGAGATAAGCATGCAGGACCTGCAGATAATCTTAACGCATCAAGCAAGAGGAAGATGATTAACAAACATATTATTTCCTCACTCCCCATGGAAGAAAGGAATGCTGCTTCAGACATTAACTAGGCATGCTGAACTATAAAATTTGAACATTTATGGTCACAGCGTGAATCTATTTAATTATCTCTCTCTCCAAGAAAAAGGACACCTATTTGTTCCAAGAAATTGTACGACTTTTCCATCATACTCTAATGGAATGGTTGTATTTCGCTAATCCAAGGAAGATAACAATTCTATTTTTACAAGAAGATTAAAAATAACGATTGGACTTTAACAAAGTTGTATAATTTGTAGATTTTGATTCTTTAGATTACAATGATATTTGTTTTAAACCATTTTTAAAAGATAAAGATACAATTGTATATTTCAAAAAATTTAAGAGGGGGAAGTTTGTTACTATCCTAATCAGGGATGCATAAACAGATGAATACCTTCAAGATAAAATCACAGGGAGGTTCAGGATGGCACCACCATCCAAGAAAGCCATCCTGTGATGAGAATCCTCAACCTCTGTTACATGCAACCACAGGAGATCTTAGTAGAACTGTATCCCAAATGGAATTAACATGAATACTCAAAATATTAATCAGAAAATAAAAATTCATACCACCAAGATACGTATGCAAAGATGTCAAAGAGGAATTTGAAAGTAAATTCAGCAAAGGCCTCAGTACCACCATGCCCATTACTGCTTCGATACAGCCGGAAAAAAAAAAAGGATGATGTCAGTGCCTTTGATGAGACCTAAAGTAGCCCACCCACTCAAAATAATAACAAACCAATAATAGTAAGAACGACAACAGCAGCAAGGACGTAAGAAAGAACGCACGAATTGCTGACATCAAATAAATTATATTGAACGCAAATAAAGCAATTCAATTCATTAATAACATCACCCTTTAATGATACGGATGACTAAATCTAGCAAACGACTAAAATAATCTTGTAATTTCAGTTGGAGAAAAACTGATGGGAGGCATGAAATCTAATAATTATGCCAGTCCGTCAATAAGAGCCCTTAACTAGATATCCGTTCTTAACTTAATGAAAGAAAATAATCGAATCGATACTCGCATGTTCAAGTTTCCTGGTGTGTTCATAAGGAGAATGAAACGGAACATATATGATCAAAAGAACGGACTATTCTCAACATTCTACGTCGATTTCAACCTTGTCAAGATGTTTCGGCAATCGGCAGTGACAGGAGAAAGTAACAATTCCATGTACAACTGATTACCGAGAGCCATTAGCGTATCTGTCAATTTACTCCGAAAGCTGTCTACACGTAATACTAATGCGAAAATATACAAGCAAATGTGCAGCGACATTGGAGAATTGGAGAAATTTTTGGAGTGAACTAAAAGGTGCGCCATGTAGTGCACCGACGCTAGCATTTTGACTTGAAACATAATCTAATCTTCAAAAAAGTTTCCCAAAGCAGAAACCATTCTTCAAATTCAAATTCAGAGATTAAAGAACTATGTCTATAAGTAATTCGGACTTTTTCCAATCCAGAGCACCGCGCAAAAACCTTATGAGCGATTATCAAATGTGAAAAAGCGAGCGGCTACACATGAATCGGAGAATGTAAACATTACATAGCATCGCGATCATCGTCGGAGTGGGGGAGGGAGTCAACTTCCTCAACTTGCAACTCCTCATTATCAAGCTGAAGAATCTGCTCAATCTGATGCCTCTCTCTCTCCAACAGCCTTCGGTCCTCCATTGCTTAGGGCTCCTGTATGCAGGAAACTGAGAATTTAATCGATCTCCTGGTGCAGCTGAGTCGCACCGCCACCGAGCTCAGATCACCAACACATAATATAGTTTCTTCAATGGAACAAATCACAGAAAACTTCCACCGTCGAGAGTGTGCCCGTGTTTTCCCGCATCAGCAAATGGCGCCAACTGCAGTAGTGATGCGTTTCTCCCCCTCAACTGTAAGCAAAATGAAGATATATAAAAAAGTTCGAATTTATATATAAATAATTTAATTATTTTTTAAATGAGTTCAAATTTATGAATGATTTATTAATCACTAAATTAATAATATAACCATTTTTTTTTATTAATATTTAAATAGGAGCAAGTAATTTTCAAAATATTGGAATCTCAAATTTTAAACGTATTTTATTTATTTTAAATAACAATAAATTTATAAATCATAAAAATAATTATTTTTGTGTTTAATAAGACTCTCAACTTAATACAAAAATATACCATTTTTATACCTCATAAATCATATAAATCGATCACTTCTCTTTTTAGTAAAAATTTATGGAAAATAAAAATGCCAATGATTTTGAATATTTTGATCTTTTTATCTTTGAAGCCAAACTAGAGGGGATTCCATCTCCATAATTGTCTATATATCGAACAAGTTTATCTTCATCGAGAGCTTCCAAATTATAAATTTGACAAATTTACTTGGTCTCAATTGTGGTGCATGCCTCACTATTGGCCACTAATCACTCACTTGCCGGACGCTCGAGCTTCGCGTTTCAAGTTTGTTACCCTAACCATCTCCTCTACTCAACTAGAAGCCTAACCCTTCTTCGATCTTATCTAAAGCTTTGCTCCTTGGCTCCTTACAGTTCCAACCACTAGCTACAATAGCTTGCACCTCGGGTGGTGCGGCTGAGTCGAGTCAGAGTGGGCTCAACAGTCGGCCTATGTTTCCAGACACATGCATAACGGTATAATTGGTTCCACAAATCTCACTGCACTGACCATAGTAAACTCCTTATGCGTAGGTATCGACAACTGACTTTCTTTTCCATATCGAGTTCTTTCTCTTTGACAAGTAAAGTTCATTAAAGATGATGGGCTCGCTCGCCCACCTCCAGAACCTAAGCTTCTAGACTATGACCAAACAAAACTAAAAAATTCCATCGAGTATAGCACTAACATATGGGAGTTAAAGTCAACGAGAAGATTGGTGTCTACAGCTTTGGGGTTGTACTCATGCCATTGATGTTGACGTTGTTCCACTCCTAGGCTAGGCGCTCCTTCCTCTATAACATCAACAAGATCCTTGCTGTTTCTGGAAAAATCAGGGCGAGCAAACAAATTGATAGCTATTTGTACGATCCAGCAGAGGTAGGGGATCAATAAAATTGCTGCAAACCCAACTGTGGGAAAAACAATTGGGGGTGTTAGAAGGAAATACTTCACTCAAGCTTCTTTTTGATAGCGGTCATAGGATAAGGATCTGATCGAGTTGAACGCCGTTAGGTATTGAACTTAAACGCAATTCGTATCATTTAAACAGAGAGTTTCAAGAAGAACACTACACCGCAGATGTTAATCGACTGACCCGACACTCTCTTGAGATGCCTAACTAAAAGTACAAGCAACCCTCCCCCTTCTCTCTCCCCTCCCCTCCCCACCCCACCCCACCCCACCCCAGCCCCCAAGAACAGAGGAGGAAAAGAAAAACAGAGATGAAATGGAAGAAAACATGGAAACTTTCTCCGCACAATGTTCAATTGAAACTCAATATGGTTAATCTGCAAGACTGAAGGTCTCTCTCAATAAGTGTAGATTAGATTCTCTCCTTAGAAACGACCTCACGAGCAGTTCCTCCTTTTCACAAAGAAGCTGCCGTCTTCTAAACATGGGAAGAAGCTGTGACAGTTCCAGTTACAGGCATCTAACATGAAATGCACCACAATCTTCAAAGCATAACTCACAAGCGCATTTATTTAAGGTCCAACAGTGCTTGCTTCTCCGGATTCCCATGTTCAAGGACTACAAACAGCATATTGGAGCTGAATTGTATGCCACGCCACCAAGCCACGCGACCCCTCCCCATGTCCGCAGGTTCATGCATGATGAACACTATCTACATCAATATCAAAGCCAGTTATTGAGGTGATACTTACTAAATATGGCTAGCTCCCGCTCTCCCAACCCATCTGCCATCCAGAAATTCCCCTCCACATGTTCATGTCTTTGAGGTTCAGATTCAGTCTGTTCAAAGGATGCTAAACAGCCAAACAAGCAACATAAAGAGAAGATGATCAAAATAAACATAATAATCAGGCAAATTAAGTACTAATCCTTTTGCCAGATTCAGAAAAATAATCCTTTTTCTAATTGAAATTGCATCGAGGCTAAATACACATGCCTTCTTGCCAGATCCTCCCGTCTCTTTTTCACCAGAATTTTGCATAGAGTCTTATTTAGCTCCATTCTGGGACTGCCTGATCGCTGAACTTCGGCTATAAAATGAAGTTTAAAAAAGAAAAGAACTAATTAGGCAAAGATTTTCATGAGGGAAAAAAGGTAATGCGGGAAAAACTTGAGAGCAGAAATGGGTTCTTTAGCACAGTTACTGAAAATATAACACGTATAGTGGCGCAGGACCTGCCACCACATGTGCACCAGTCAGAAGATTGCCTGTGCGAAAATTTGGAATTACAAAATGATAATTAAAATGCAACAGGAAAATAGACCAACAATTATGGGTCGGAAAGAGAGAAAAGGAGAGAAGGCATGGAGAAGAGATATGGAATGAAACAACGAGTGCTTTTTGGCAAAAAGAATAAAAACTTAAGGTATCAAACCATAAATATGTTTATATCTTCTATTCTTCTGATTGATATCAATTAAAATCTCAGCCTCCTCTCATCTTAGATTCCTTGGTGGAAGCAACGTCATCAGTTATAATGTGCTGTGTACTTATATATAAAATGTAAGTAATTTAAGCAATTAGAGATTCAAACCTCCAACTCTTTAGGTTGACCATTTTGAAACACTCTTCCAGTCACAACGGAACCATTTTCCAACGCCAACTCTGGATCCGTCCTGCTATCATTGCCCTGCAAATACCCGACTCACTATCTCCAGAATGCCACTTCTCTTACTGCCATTGGCTATGATTTGTAATCCAATGTAGTCAAACTCAGTCACTCACCTTGCAACTAAGGTTATGTGCATTGCAATTTGGTTGAAAGTCAACTTGGGTACTCTCTTCCCCGGTCGTTTGACCAAATGGATTTGCTGACTCAGAGTCAATCCTCACAACATCCTTTGTCCAATGGAGGAAATTTCTGATGGCTACTGTCTGTGCACTTCCACTCATATTAGATGCTAATCCCTCAATTTTTTCCTGGTTCATCTCAATTTGTAAAGCTTCCTCGGATTTCGAAAGACCGCCTTGATATAGATCAGGCACCTCCTTCGTTGAGGAAGATCCTTCCATTACTTTAGCTAGCTCTGCCTGATCCATCGTAGGACCAGTCTCCTTGGTCAACGATGGAATATCCATGCCATTTCCATCAGTATCCATTCTGCTATCAAGCTGTTCAAAAGATGGCCAAACCTCAGAGTAACAATCTGCATTTGCAGATTTTAAACTCGGCAATTTCCCATCTGATCCACCACCATGAGTTTCAAGCATGGGAGATTCTTCTGCTGGTTGACTGGCAAAGGCTTGTTTCTTTTCCATCTCTGTTTCTTCATGGTCACTTTTCCTTTTTTTCCCTTTCTCAGTGATCCCAGACTGATCTTGGAGCATGTCAGCACAAACTGGGTCAGCTTGCTGCCCTTCATGCCTGACTGGCTTTGCCCGTTTGTGTCCATCAGGAAAAACAAAGGTGGGCAGTTGCTTCCTCCGCACATGAGAAACATGGATATCCATCCCTGGCTTCCAAAAAGCATACGTGTTTATCTCTTGCCTGAACTCATCAACTGTTCCTCGTATGTCAAACTGCTGGCCTCCTTGGCCTCTTAATCCCTCTTTTCTCTGCAAGCCCATGAAAAAAGCACAGTGAGAACATGGCTTGGACGTGTCAGAATACTCAATAGGATAGGGATGGCACTGCAGCATCCCCCTGGTGTCTCTCTCTATCTGCAGGAAGGAAAAGTAGAATCTATCAGGCTCTTGAAAGACCCTCCAACTCTAGATAGATAATAAGGAAAGAATAATAGATTTACCTTCAAGGTAAGCTGTCTAAAGCGAGATTCTACCCATCCTTTCCAAGCTAGCAAATCATCAGCATCTGCTGCAATTATGTCCACCTGTAGATAGTTTTTGTATATCTCGAAAAATAAATATGGCTCAAATAAAGCACTCCACTGGGCTTTGCTCATGTCAATCTCCTGTTAAGGCACTCAGAGATGTAAGAGAAATACTATTAAGAGCAGGTTAAAATTTAGAAGATATTGAATCCAAATAAAAATAACCTCACCTCACAGATATTATTACCACAGCGGAACTGTTCCATCATAACACGGAGAGTACTAGTTGAGACATTATAGCTAGAGTTCATGCAAGGGTAAGCAGGAGTTATTATTGGCATAAGATGAAATCGATCACGCGGATTTTTACGAGGATCCCAAACAGGAAATCCAAGTTCATTCTCTTCTATTGAACATAGCATTACAGGATTTGGCCAACGCCACTGGGTGTACACTCTGAAGAAACGAGAAACTAGCATGCTTGGAATTGCATTGGGGTAAAGCTGGCATACCTGAGCAACCAAAAGTGCCCAATTTACACCTCCAAGGAACCCAGTGACCTATACATGAAAAAAAAAACAAAAGTGAAATCTGAATTATGAAAAAATATAAGTGAAGCTAAGAGGAAAAACTCCATGATCTTACAACTTACATTGGAGTATACACCCCGTCTTTTGGCCCAAAACTTTAAACATCTGAGTGTCGTGCGAAAGTGCTGCAATTGGCAATTATAGGTTACAGAGAAAATCACGAAATAGATTTATGGAAAAATAACTCAGGTTTAAAATGTGTTTCACCTCAACGTTTGGAACAAGTCTTAGAATTTGATCTGCAACTCGGCATCCATTAAGACTTCGAACAGTTTGTTCATCAACATTGCACAGCACAGATCCATGAGAGATGTTCAGCTCCTGATGATTAAGTAAATTGCAAAAAGTTTATGGGAAATAGCAACAGTGCAAAAGATCAGGGAAAAAGAGGATTGAAACATTAGTAGTAAAACAATTAGTAAGTGATACCACCCAATCACAGTTAAATCTACAGCAGATAAGGTTATGCAAAAATGTATCACCTGTTCAGTGTTAACACACACACACACACAGTGAACAATTAGTGCACCTACACAAACTCAAGGTAACAAAACGAACTTATCAGATAATTAAAATAAAAAATGTTCGGAATGGTGTGAGGGAGAAAAGAGCAATTCCTGTTGTATATAATAGTCCTCTTTCAGGAGAGAAATTTCTCTATCCAGCCGCTAGCCATGTAAAAGATAAAATAAAATAAAACAAGAAGATAGAAGAAAGAAATCCCTGAAATTCAATCAAAACCACATTTGTCGGGAAAGGAGGGAACAAATTATACAGCTTCAGCCACAGGATATGCAAACAAGAAAAGATGGTGACTGCACTGGAGGGTACATGAAAGCTGGTAGAAACGGTTCAAACGATAAATAAAACTACAAAAATAATCCATAAAAGTAATCACAATTGGCATTCATGTCCATTCACATTACAATGTTTGGCATTTAGACTTTTATCAGACAGGTAGTTCTGCATGAATTATGGAAATATTCGCCATAAAGCTGAATATAGAAGTAGAGAGAGAAGTAACATATAACATACAATAGTTCGAAATCTCATATGATCAACTACAATAAATAATGTAACAAAAAGAAATATGGTTACAGTTTTGTGAAAACATAAAATAAAGTAACAACAATCTGAAAACATAAAATAAATATAATAAAACTTCAAAGAAAGTGCTAGAACTTACTTCAGGAACAACCCGTACGGAAATGCTCGCATACAGAAGATCAATTGATATCCCCATAAATTTGAATCTCATTACTGGAACATGAGCATCGGGAACCGGTTGAAGATCAGTAACCTCTTCCATTTCAGCTAAAATATTATGCAAGATGATGAAGAAGTCCTCCATTAGAAAAAAAAAAACAAATTGTCAGATCAAGAATAAGCTGAAATTTAAGCCCATATGAGAAGGCAAAAAATGTTGTTGAAGTATCAGCAATTTATACTACTCACTTCTCTATTCACGTAAGATGGTCCAACACACAATGTGTCTATGTCACTTCCTGGTCCATGTACCTGTCATATGGTTAATTTTAAGTCACATCTTTGAATACTTGGAAGTCATATATTTGAGTATAATGCACAGGCCAATAAGGGAAAAATACAGGAAGAACATAACTTTCCAAGAAATAAAAGATCATTGCTCTAAGCAATCATCCAACCAGTCCGTGACTCCAACAAAAATTACGAAGAGTTGCATAAAGTAATAAGCTTTTTTCCCCAAAAACTAAATCAAATATTATGCTTACCCCAAGACGATAAGACCCAAAAGTAAAAATTACTGCATTTGCATCCTCCACCATCTGCTCTGTATATCCTCTTAGGAGAGTTAATTGCTTGACCCAATTTTTAACAATCTAGAATGAAAGAAAATGGCTAAGGACAAGAAGTTTATGTCATAAAAGGAAGTCAAACGCTTGAATACATTAAACAATAATTAATCAACTAAAATCTCGCTTTCGTCACCGATTAGAACACTGTTTTGTTCGAGCTGGCTACTGAGAACAATCCCCTAAGTAAAAGACTATTGAAGTGAAGAAGGTCTGCACCTGGTCAATGCGGCCCAAAACCTCTTCTCTTTTCGCAGCTTCTTCTTTACTTTCGTAAAGCCCCGAGTCAATCAAGAACTACCAATATGTAGAACACAATCAAAATTGAAATTCTTTTCGTTTACTGCAATTTCACACGGCACAAAAAAAACAACCAAATTAATTGAGATTTAACCAATAAATAAAAGTAACAACACCTTCTCCAGTTCGATATTGCGCTGAATATCAGCATCCGTCGGTCCAGCAAGAGAAATCGGTTTCGTAACACCATAATTACTCGCCGGCTGAGGTGCCGGGTGAAAAGCAGTTGAACTGTCTGAACCCACCATTTCTCAAACAGCGAAAAAGACAGCTAACGCAAACACGACGAATCACGCAACCCTGAATCTGACCGAGAATTGACAACACAATCTGAGCAAATCTAGAAGAAAAAAAAACAAAAACTCAAGCAAACTCAGGAAAGCCTCTCTGATGTACCAGGTACCTAAATTTGAAGATGAAATGGAATGATTGGGATCAAGATTTTATACGAAAGGCTGAATTAGAAAGCAAAGAGAAGCAAAAGAAAGAGTGTGCAAACAAAGACAAGGTTGAAGAAGTATGAACAGAAAACAGATCGAACCCTTGATTCGTACCGGCGATAGGTTGACGGTTCGTAAACCGGTCAAACTCAGGGCTGCATAGAGAGAGAAAGAAAGAGAGAGAGAGAGAGAGAGAGAGATGGCGGAGAGAGGGCGTCGAAGCAGGGAAGAGGGTTTAGTCAAGGCAGTGCTTGGCCCCATAAATTTTATTATTTTCATTTTGCTAAATTTATATCCTTTTTTATTTTCACTAAATATATATTCTTATAATTTAAAATGGTTTTTGATTTTTTTAGTTATAGTAGAAAAGATAATAATGAATTTTTAAAATAATGAACAAAATTTATAAAGAAAAAATGAATTTGATCTTTAAAAAAATAAAAAATATGGATAACACGACTCTCCATAATGATATGATATTATCTACTTTTAACATTTTGGGCTTCCCACAAAAGGCTTCATACCAATAGAGAGAGTATTCTTGGTTTATAAACCCATGATCATTCTCTAAATTAGTCGATGTGGGACTTTCATCATTCAACACATATGATATCTTAATATCATCTATGACGCTAAAATAAAAGAGATACATAATATACTGAGACTATATTTAAATTGACTGAGTTTAAGATATGAAATTATGGACGTATACACCGTCATTAATTAAAAATATATAATATTTTTACTGTAATTTGTAAATTAATTTTGAGATTAAATTTTAAAAAAGGATTAATTTTTAAGAAGCTCTAGAAGATTATTAACCAAAATTGGAATGTATATGTATATATGGCTGTTTCCAGCTTGGCATTCCACCTACCAAATTCCAATATGGCTGCCAAACTAATTTTAAATTTATTATTTTTATAATTGTAAATTTATAATGCAGTTTCCATTTTTTAATAAAATAAAATCCCAGCAAATCGTTGTTTTTAAAAACAATCATTGAAGTTTTTTTTTTTTTTTTCATTGCCCAGCAATTTATTAAAATTTCCATTCATATTTTTACATTTTTTTTTTCATATAATAATTATTGATTTGAATAATCTTGTTAAATTCATAAAATTTAACTCTAAATTATATATATGTTTTAGTATTAAACCCATATAATAATACTTTAATTAAATTAGACGCTGATGATTCGATAAAATTAAGAGATAATTCAATATTTTTCTTTAACTTTCGTGTTTCTATATTCGTAGTTGGTCCCATTAAGATAAAATACTTTTACTCTAGCTTTAGCTCGAAAGCCCAAAATCAAAATTATAAAACTTGCACATATTCTATCTTATACTCGAAGTATATCAACAAAAGAAGAAAAAAACATTTCATCATTTTCCCGTATCAAGTAAATTTTAGAACCGCCCATTAAACTTGACACTAACGATAAATAGTTCGAGCTTCCCTTTACTCGGGGCGAAGTGAAATGTCCATCTTAGACACTAAGGTTGCAAGAGAGGCTCTTCCATGCTTCTTTGATATGGTAGCCTTGGGAGTAATTCGAGAGTATTTCTTTCTATAATCATTCTCTCCCTTTGCTAAGTCGTCTACGCATTTCACGTCGGATAAGGATGAGAAGGTTCGTGATTTCCCTTCATAAAATTTTGACAACCCTTTTCTGCATAAGAGGTGAATTCAAGATGCCAAAAACTTTAGAATTTGAAACAGAGCTCTACATTTTAGTTCAAAGAACATGAACTCACTTGATACAAAGCAGCTGTTGTTCCTCACAAACTTCTCTTTGAGATAACAAAGACGACGAAGAAGAAGAAGATGAAAATGACGATAACGCATCGTCGTCACAGAGGCTTGACGACGACGATGATCCAATTGAACTAGTTGAATCTTCCGAACACGATACGACGCTAAAGTGAAGAAGATGAGGGATAAAACATTTCTCTTCCTTTCTATTAAAAAGACTTGTAGCAAAATCTGCATCAACTGTCAACTTCCTGAACTCCATGACTTTCCACAAAGAGAAGTATTGAAATGGATGAGTTCTTGATCTTTCAATTCTCTCTTGAGCTATATACTTGATTACTCAAGTGAGACCATGTAAAGGAAAGTATTTATAGATGAAGAAGAACATAGGGCATAGGGCATAGGGCATAGGGCGAGTAGGTAGCAGGGGAGAAAGAATAAATCAAATCAAATGCACAATAATTTGTCTCACTTTTTCTTTTTGAGAGGATAAAAAGGACCAAACTTTTGTAGTCTATCCTATATCCTTTTTGAGTCATTCCACATTATCATACAAGTTATATGATTTATAATACAGATTAAATGTGTATATACAAAGACATTTCTACATTATATAATAACTAAAGAAGTATAGTCAATAAATTACCATCCTAATTCCACATAATAAAACAAAAACATACCTTGTTCCTCAGCTGAGCATCTCTTGGAGTAGACAATTGTTCCCAAGGATAAGTTTGGAGCCTACAATGCATTTAGATAATAAAGTAAGTACACACAACAACAACAACAACAAAAATGGCATCAGTTGTCCTCAGTTGTCCTTGTGAGAATCTGTCGTCCAAGAGATAAAAACTTGGAAGTTTTAGTTAAAGCAGAGGCTGAATTGGTAGTTGTGATCATTGAGATTAAGTAACTTCCAAAGCACTTATCTAGTGAGTTTGGCTAAGGGCTTATAAAATTCCCCTCATGGCAGTTGGTTGGTGCCAAGCCACTTACCATCTTACATGGGTCATGGAAATGGATGCCTTTTTTGTTCCAAAGAGAATATACTAAAGTGAAGATGCTTGTTGGGATCATCCAATATGGAATCAAAAGGGGCTTTGTTTTTTTGTGTGCAAGTTTTTCAGGCAATATCATTCAATTCTTCTTCTCAGTTCAGATTTCAAGCAAGGTTGCAGATTTTATGGCTATGTCCATACTTTTGCACTATCATGAATAGGAACTCCCACAAAGAATCATGCCAAATTGCTATGTGTCAGTGGTGAACAATGTGGCCACGATTTCGGTTCGTAAAATCCACATTCTGATTGATTCCGAGCTGTGTTAAAAATTGAAAGAATTAATGGCTAAACAATGAAAACAAAATCAGAGTAGTATAGATTCAACTTTCTCTCAATCCATTATAAAAATGTGGCAGATTCATAAATAAATAAAAAGAACAGAAATGTTAACATAACATGTCTGGAATACTTGGATGAGCAGACAAACAAAGATAAGGTTTTCATTTGTATCCTCAAGCATAACAGTTAGCAGAAAGTTTCCTTCTAAGTTGGCTAGCCTGAATCCTTTCTAAGGATTTGACAGTGTGGTTTGGTTGGAGAAGATGAAGCATTGAGCTAACTTCTCTAACTTTCCGTTTTAGTACACAAAAATATACCGATAGGCCGAGGAGGTAAGATTAAATTTTCAATTGAACTACTTCAAAATACTGTCTGCTATCCTCTCTCTCCCAGTTGCTCGTTAAGATTCCCCAATTATCGTCTTACTAAGCCTACTCGAAGACGGTAGCCGAAAGTACTCTTTGGGATGATTGTCACACCATAAGACAAATGAATCAACTTTATTTCACATTCGGATTCCCACTCTTCAAAACCAAACGCAATAGCATTGAACTTTTACTTGATGGAAATATAAATGTATAATGTGGATTTGAAGAGACTAATATAGAGAGCAAAGATAGGTGTAATTTTCACATACCTAATATTATGAACCAAGGAGTGAAGTTGACCACAGTTGGAATACTCATGGGAAAGCTGGATAACATTGTCTACTATCTGAAGTATCTTGTAGACTCCAGCCAGTGCATTGCAGCTCTCTTTACATGAATCCAAACTAGAAGGCTCAGATTCATGTCAAGAACCAAATGCAATCCTTTGAAGCTGGGCATAAAACCCTTCTACAGAAAATAAACTAGGATATACTGAATGTAAATCAAATCCATAGCAGGGTGATAATGTACCTTAAAGCTAAAGATTAAATTTTAATCCAAAAGATATCATGCTATCAGCAATCATTGGCGAAGAACTTCATTGACACTAGTATTTCAGGTTTTTAATCCAGAAACTTCATGCAACCAAAAGAAGATAAACAATCTCCAGGAAGCTTGAGAATGGTATTTCATATGAGGTAAATAAAATTCAAGAAGAATGAACGGAAACAGAGTAAATGGCCTCATAAACACTACTTGCACTCCAAAATCAGAAACAGAAGAAAATATAAGCGCCCATAATGGTAGCCGGCACTAGAAGGAGATATTTCATTTTATTGTTTGTTTTCCATCTAGTCCACTGAATCCAAAGAGAGTTGGTATTGGAAATTGGGAAGAAAATAAGTGGAGGACTAGATCTTAAACTGTCATTAGGCATTTTGGAGCCATTTTCCGTTATATGACGTCCGAACAGACTGCTCCAACACAACGCACACAAAAGTACATTCATGATCCTTGGCGCCTCAAGGCATGCTCTAACTGAGAGTTTCTTCTTGCACATTCTAAGATGGTTTTATCGGCAGTGATGAAGTACGCAGCAATAGACGCTGTTCACAAATTAAAAGTAAAACGTTAATTCCTACAATAAGTAATACCAAGTTAATTCGACCCGTTTCTAAAGATGCTTCCATAATAGTTTTTAGCATTTTCTTTTACTTTCGTAGGGGGCAGAAAAATGGAATGGGCTCATACTTACTAGGAGTTCACAGATTTAACTCTTTAGGCTTTTCTGTGTTTGAAATATATGATGACAATTGGTTAATCACAAGTTTGTACACAAGCACTATACCTGCAGAAATGATGAGTGCCTGAGCAGTATAATTAAGGTTTGCTTTGGCCCAAGGAACTACTCGAACAGCAACCAACTGAGGATGGAGGATAAGAAGTATATTAAACTAAAAACATAAATTCACACACACAAAGACACACACACATCCCAAATGCTGTGAGAATAAGACTCAATTTAGCTAAGACTTGCTCAGGAAATCCCCCACACATTACTTCAAATGGTTGTCATTATGGGGTCTTTGTTGCAGTTGGTATCAAACTGGTTGAAGCTTGTTAACCAAGACCAGTCTTCAATTTTTTATATCGGTGGAATTCCACCTTTCAACAAACCTCATCGAAGAAGTTGTGTTTCCTTTAATATAGTTTTTCATAACTATTCCTCTGTAATGCACGAAAATGAAGAGGAGATTTCTCTTATCAAAATTCAGTCTAAATCTTCACTTCCTAATAG